CTTTGTGCCCTTATTCTTGTTGAAAAGTTGGTCATTGTGTGTCCCTCCCCTATTGAAAACTCTTCCAGAAAATCACTCTCACATAATGTTAAAGCCAAAGTCTTTCAAAGTCCAAAAAGGCTTTGATCATCCTACTAGCTCTCAAACCTCCCTTCTTCCTCTCTCCCCACTTTTACTTCACTGCAGTCACACTGGCCTCCTTGCTGTTTCTCAACACACTAAGCATAAACCTGCCTCAGGGACTTAGCATTTACTTTTTTTTTTAACCTGGAGTGTTCATTCCCTTGTTATTTGCATGATTCTCTTACTTCTTTTAGTTATTTACCCAGTTTTACTTTTACAGTTTAAAGTTCTTTGGCTACGTTATTAAAAATTTTTTCCATATCTCTGATACTTTCTATCTTCCTTCCCTGGCTTATTGTTTCTCTTTAACCCTTATTAATGTATAGCATACAATATTTTACTTCCTTATCTTGTTTATAGTCTGACAAACCACCTTGGATTACAGGCTCCATGAGGGCATGAATTTGTGTCTGCCTTGCCCATAATTGAATCCTCAGGGACTAGAAGAGTGCTTAGTACAGCACAGTTACTTAATAAAGACTTGCTGAACAAATGAGTGATGCTGATAGAACTAGGGTATACTCTGTCGGTCTATTTAGAATTTGTGCTGTATTGATTTCTTGTATTTTGGGAGCACGTGGGATGACTTGTTATTTAACCTTATAATAATCTGAGTTGTAGCACAGTTCTGTCAAATTTCTAAGTCATAATTTATTTCAGAATATACTTTCCAGGTATCTGAGCTTCATAGCTAGTATCAATAAAATATAGTCACTGTGTATATTCAAGGCAGATTATGAAACAATCATTGATTTATAATCTGGCAGGTTATAATCTAGTAGGGGATGCCAGGGCAATAAAAATATATTTGTGCCAGATAGTCATACACATTTGTACCTTCTATGTATGAATCATCTCTTTTCCTGAAATGTTCATCACTCTCTATTTTTTAAGCAAACTCCTGTTAGATTCTAGCTCCCTTGGAAGTTCAAACTGTGTTTGGGTGGCCTCTCTCACGTTTCAAGGACTTTGGAAATACCTCTCTTGGCAGAAGGGGTGGTAAGGTGACAAAAGATGATAATAAGAGTATGTTATGGAGTCACTAGGCATAGACATGAATTCTAGCTCTATCACTCCATGATTGGCTTGTTTTTAAGTTATTAAAACCCATTACATCATTAGGAAAGTAGAGAGAATAAAATAATACCTACATCTCAGGGTTGTTATAAGGATTATTGACGCACACATACCACACATACAGACATACCCACATACAGACGCAGGTACACAATGCACATAGATTATAATATCTTCTGGGGGAACGAGAAGCATGAAAGCCTTGCATATGTCTGCAACTATAAAGTGCCCAGGACATTCTCTTTTGGCATCTCTGACATCACATGTTCTTGCTTTCTCTCCTTACTTTCTGAGCTGCCTCTGTTTCCTTAGCTGGCTTTCCCACAGCCTTACCTCTCTGTGGGGCTTACTTTTCAGCCCCACCTTTTCTTTATTTATACTTGCTCTCTAAGTAATTTTATTCATTTCAAAGGGTTTATATATTGGTGACTCTCGGTTCACATCTTTAAGCCAAAAAACTCCTCTCGGTCCACACTTACATATCTTCCTTCCTCTTTGACAGCTATACCTGGATGCTTCCAAAGCATCTCAAATTTAACATGTTCAAAAGAAAATCATTGTTTTCCCTTGAGCCCATCTGTTTCTGTTCCAGTCAGTCCCATCCCTTTTAATGATACCAGAATATACTAGTTTCTTAGACTCAAAACCTAGGAGTAGACACTGATTCCTCTCTACCTTACCCACATCCAGTCCGTCAGCAAGTCCAGTTGATTCTACTTGCAAAAGATATCTGACTGTGTCCACTTCTCTCCATATCCACTGTCACCAATCATAGCCAAGCCGCTATCATCTCTTACCTAGAGTATTATGAGTCTCAGATTTCTCAAGTCCATTATCCAGAACAATGAGCAGCTAGGAGAATCTTTTCTAAGATTGGATTGTGCCAGTCATTTGTTTACACTTCCTCAGTGGCTTTCTGTTGCGCTTAAGCTCCAAATTCCTTAAGAGCCTACAAGATCCTACATGGTCTGGCCGTTCCCTATCTTTCCAACCTCATTTTGTACCATAATTGCACTCATTATTTATGCTCTAGCCACACTTTTCACATGACTGACTTCATTCTTCATTTTATTGTTCCTTGCATTCATCAGGTTCCAGTTCAAGTCACCTTTTAGAGCGGGGGTCCCCAACCCCTGGGCCTTGGACTGGTACCAGACCGTCCTGTTAGGAACCAGGCCTCACAGCAAAGAGGTTGAGCGGCGAGCAAGTGCGACGTCATTGCCGCTCCCCATTGCTCTCCGTTGTTTGCGTTACCGCCTGAATCATCATCCCCACCGATACCCCGCCCCCGCTTCCGTGGAAAAATTGTCTTCCAGGAAACTGGTCTCTGGTACCAAAAAGGCTGGGGACCGCTGTTTTAGAGTACTGATTTGTAAGCCCCATGAGTATAGGGAGCATTTACACCCTGTTTTCTCTTGAATATTTGATTCCCAGGAGAGAGTCATAGCATAGGCAGGCCATAAATATATGCTTAATGAGTTAGTGAATAAACGCCTGGTGTATGATGGGTGCTCAATGAAAGATAATGATGGTAGTTATCAATGTACATCGCTATACTTCTTTGTTATATGAGTCTCTGCCACTCTGTAGTTAATAGATATTTGTTGAATGAGTTAAGTAATTAATTTAGCCTATCATAGGAAGTTACATATATATATGTGTGTGTGTGTGTATATATATCTATATATATTCTCAATACATGGGGCTTGCTGGAAATAACTCTGACAAGTAAAATGCATGAGATCGATATTTTAGGTTCATCAGTTTGATGGGCCGCTTTTAGTCTCTCATGTCACTTTGATGCTCTTACATAATAAAAATGAGTCCTGTTTTGTTACTGGATTTGCTTACTAGCATTCTGGATTTAATGAGAAAGTGTGATACCTTTTACGTCAGATTTTTTTTTTTGTCTGAAGTAGAATTCACATGACCGTGATAATAAGCATTGGTCCCCAAGTCTTTGGTCTAAGTAAAGTGAAGGGAAAGCTTGAGAATATTCAGATAATTTTCCAACGAGAAAATTAATATGTCTTTGTTTCCTTCCCCCTTGTCTACAATGCCAACTTCCATACCAAAGCTGATTTTTCCCTTAAATATTGCTAAAAATCTAGTTATTCTGGAGCATGTAGCTATTTGATGAAGAGTGTGTGTGTGTGTGTGTGTGTGTGTGCACGCGCATGTGTGTGCGTGTGTGTGTGTGTTTTAGTGTTTGGCACTGTACAGAGGGAGCATTTCTCTGTTGCCATTGGAAACAGTGGAAGGAAATGGTGAAAATGAGGGTGAGGGTGATTAGAAATGTGATTCAGGTTATATTCATTATGTGTCTGGACTAGAATTTTTACAGATCTGATGAGTTTTGAAAACCATTGGTATTCTTGAAGAAACATCATAATTGCATAAACTCCTGAAGCAACATCACCTGTCTTTGAAAGGTGATGCTTAGGGAGTCACTTTAAAACAACTTGAAATCTGTGGCTGGAAGAGCTAATAACTTACAAAATAAGTCTCTTAAACAATCCTTTAAATAACCCAGATCACTAATTTGTCGGTTCTCTTTTACAAATCATGCTAGAATTTGCTGTAGGCAACCTGGGACAAAATTTTCTTCTTCCCCAGGAGTTTAAACTGAAATAGGCGACTATATTCATAGCTATACTAAGTTTCTACTTGGAAGTATAATTCCAAATATGCATCCCTCCAGCCCTTTGAATCTTCATGATGTGAAAATTTTTCCTGGATCAGGGGTAAAGGACTGATTACTGTCAATTTTATTACAAGACTCTGTAATTACTTTGAAGGCTCTGGAGAACTGAGTGTGTTGCCAGAGAATTTTCTGTCCTCACCACCTAGCCACAGAAGGCCCTTGGAAATTTAATAACAGAAAAAAATCATGTCTTGAATATATATAGCCGTTTTCAATATACAAAACATTTGCATAGTTGGTATCTTATATTGATTCCCATAAGGGCAGCCTAGCACATATGATCCCCAGTTTTCAGATGATAAAATTCTGGTGCTGAGAGGTTAAACAATTTAGTAATAGTTCTTTGTAGCAGAACTGGAATTTGAACCTAAATATTCTTTTCTGCAAAAATTGGTACCATTGAACTATGCCTTTGCATTTGGGGGCATTTTACTTTGTAATCTTCCAACCCTCTTCTATCCTATAGTTCATTTAATGTGAAAATACTGTTCTGACCTCGTTTGTCTTTGGTCTATATTGTATGGAAACTAAGCTCAATACTTGTTGGGAAGATTATTCAACTTGCTTTACATTGCATTTGAAGATGGGGTTTGTAGGCTTTTTTAAAAATAACTTTATTTTTTAATTGCATAATCAGTACATGCTTAATGCTGAAAATTTGGAAGGACACAAAGAGCATTTCTAAAACAAACAAAAATACCGTCGTTATTATTGGGATCACCAATGTCTAATATTTTGGGTTTTTTTTAAGATTTCTGTTCATGGCATACTTCTTTTAGGTGCTTTCCCTCACCTTCGTGTCAGAGTATAGTTGGGCCTCCCACACATGAGATTTGGTTTTGTGGACTCCAGATGAGCAAATGAAAAACATATTAACCTAAGCCAGGTAGGATCAAGAAGCTGTATCAGCTGCTTTGATAAAGTCACAGAATCACAAAGGAGACAGGCAAAGAAGAGTCAGAAAGATTTTTGGATTCTTTTTCTCAAGTTACCTACGTCAGAAAGACCTCTCTTTCTCTATTAGCATAGACTGTTCGAGCTTCCCAAACCGGTTGCACTTACGTTGTTAAATCCCCATTCTATTTTTTTCCCCCAGGTTTTGAAGATCGTGATCACATATGGATGCATCTAACTAAATGGTCCCTGGGGACATGGTGGTCCTTTAGAGAGCACATCTAAATCACTGGCTGATTTTTTGGTTTGCCGCTCGCCATAGGACATCCCTGGATTCTCTCTCTCAGAACTCGCCTAAATTTTCCCCACCATGCTGTCTTTATTAGCTTGAACTCCTTTCCTAAAATGGTCCTTCTGTTGATCCTGTCAGTCCTGCTTTTGAAAGAAGATGTCCGTGGGAGCGCACAGTCCAGTGAGAGGAGGGTGGTGGCTCACATGCCTGGTGACATCATTATCGGGGCTCTCTTTTCTGTCCACCACCAGCCCACTGTGGACAAAGTTCATGAGCGGAAGTGTGGGGCAGTTCGTGAACAGTATGGCATTCAGAGGGTGGAGGCCATGCTGCACACCCTGGAAAGGATCAACTCAGACCCCACGCTTTTGCCCAACATCACCCTGGGCTGCGAGATCAGGGACTCCTGCTGGCATTCGGCCGTGGCCCTAGAGCAGAGCATTGAGTTTATAAGGGACTCCCTCATTTCTTCAGAAGAAGAGGAAGGCTTGGTGCGCTGCGTGGATGGCTCTTCCTCTTCCTTCCGCTCCAAGAAGCCCATAGTCGGGGTCATCGGGCCTGGCTCCAGTTCTGTGGCCATTCAGGTCCAGAACTTGCTCCAGCTTTTCAACATACCTCAAATTGCTTACTCGGCAACAAGCATGGATCTGAGCGACAAAACTCTGTTCAAGTACTTCATGAGGGTCGTGCCTTCAGATGCCCAGCAGGCACGGGCCATGGTGGACATAGTGAAGAGGTACAACTGGACCTATGTGTCAGCGGTGCACACAGAAGGTAAGTGTTCTTTACACCGAGTATGTCTTGTGCACCTGATAGCTTCCCAGTTAAACTTTCAAGTTTTGGAGGGCTAAAATTGTCCTAATTATTTGAGATCTTTTGTTATACCACTTACATAAGAAGGGATGGGATGGCAGATGTCTAGAGCAACATAGATATAAGCTAACATGAGTGATGATGTGACCATCAGTTGGCAAAATGGATACTTTTTTTTGGTTTACGTATTACATTATTTGTACATCTTCTATAACGATGATAGGGAGTTTTAAGATTTCTAGATCTTCTTTGAACTCCTTACGTTTTAACTCTGTAAGGTTGCTCTGAGTACCTGAGAGTTTCTGATAGTTAAAGGGAGGTACACATACATACACATAAGGCCTGAGGGCAGCCAGTTCTGGCCCAGGTATGTTGTAATAGAAAATTACCAAACGGTTTAGTCTTACAACGATTTTTCAGTAGAGTGTATCGTTAAATCTGAAATGGAGATGTGTATGAATTAGTTCTATCCTTGTATAGGACGTTCTCAGGAAGTATAAGTTTTAATAATTCAGCATTAGTTTGCTTTGAAATTTATTGCTTCTTTATGTGGAAATCATAGTGAGGAAGGAAAATATGACTGAGGTTCTATACCAGATAATAATAGTATTAGCCCTTATTATTGTTGATGGTGCTTTTCAAATGCGTTTGTATACATTATTTGTTAGTTCTCAACCAACGCTGTTTGGGATAGGTTTGATTTGACCTACAGAGGTTAAGATACCCAAATTGTGAGGCTTACTAATTATGTAGCACTCTTTCTAGGACAGCATACTGCCTATGCTAAACACTACAGTATACCAGAGAAGGTACACGAGACTTTGTATAGCTCATTAGATCATTGTTAGGATTAGTTGAGATTTTTACTTTATTTTTTTAATTAATTTTTTTCTGTTTTAAAAATTTTTTTATTTCTTAAAATCAAATCAAATAATAATATATTCATATCATTTAATCTCTTGTGTAAGTATATTTCATCCAATATAGCCAATATGGACACATTGTTGCATTATACAAAGTCATTTCAGTTGCATCAATTGACCTGAGAATAACATTAAAAGTTAATTGTAGCTATCAACTACTGAGGCACTATGAAAAGGGTTTTTTCATGTATATATTCTATAAAGATACTTATTGACAGTACTCAAACAAACAAACCTATGAGATAGATTATGTTTTGATCCCAGATTTACAAATGAGGGAACTGAAGCATAGAAAATGTAAGCCACATGCCTAATGTCAAGAATTTAAGTGAAAGAGCTGAGATTCGAATGTTCGTGAGGTTCAAATCTCAGTTGAGATTTTTAAATTCTGCAATAACACTGTCAGTGTGTTCCAAACAATCTAATCTTGTAAAAGTGGGATTGAGTTATTGGGAAATTAATGAAATGACCACAGTAAGACTACTTCAGAGATTGGGAGCCTGTCACCAATTAGATATAGCAAACTTTTCATTATCAAGTGACATAACATGGATTTCACTGTATGGCCGCTCTTAACAATACTCAGAGCTGCAGAAACATAAAATGGCCTCTTCTATACTGGATTGAGACTTCTAAGCCTCTGGAAATTTTCATACATAAGTTTATGGTTTACGTACAAAGATGTTGATATGTAGAGATTTTGATCAATGGGTAGGTCATTGGACTAGGAGACCTTTGATTTTTTTTCCTAATGCTGAGATTTTTCTTATAAAACCACTATTTCATTTGATTCTCACAACAAGCAGTGATCTAGATAATCCAGATATTTTATTCCATTTTTAAAATACGAATGTTTTAAGAGTTTATACAGTTCATCCAATAACTACCTGATAGCAACTTCAGAGGCAGGAGGAGGGCTCATAGCTACTAACTGCTAATTCAGCGCCCTATTATAATTCAGCAGAATCCAGTAGAATCACACCCAGAGGATATATATTTATGCAGCACATATTTATTAAGTCAAAATATACAAAAGGCTCTAATAGTCCTGTGAAGGACAGCCCTATGTTTTATGCATTACCACCCTCAATGGGCGTGCAGTCTGGCAAAGGAGATGGAGCACGCACTAATACTTGCATAACCATAATTCAAGATGACACGGAGTTACAAATGTTTCTCAAGTAAATTGAAGGAGAAAATAATCACATCCTGCTCTGTGGTGATGGAAGCCATAGTGGAAGTCTTAGAGAAGGAAATGAATTTGACAGTGGAGTTTTAATAGGAAGAATACTGACAACTGGTGAAAATTAAGAAGGCATGGGTTTCCAGTAAAGGGCATGAGGAAATATGAGAAGGTGAGAAAGTAAAAAAACATGTTTTCAAGAGACCAAGGATGAAGCTGTGTTTGGTTTACCTCAGATCAATCATAAATTTCATTAGGAACTTCCATCTAGCTTCAGAAGAGTAGGCCTTGGTCAGTCTGTAGGAGGTGCTAATCCAAGATTGTGTTCAAAGAGAAACTCGTCATCATGACCTTTGACTCTTACTAATTTAATCTGTTTTTCTTTCAACCTAATTATATTCCTGTACTGAGTGATACAATAAAATAAATTATAATGCATCCGTAAAGTATATTATTAGGTAGCTATTAAAATGAATGAGACACTCTATAGGTAATGAGATCATAATGAGCTCCAAGATCATTTTAAGTGAAAAAAGCAAAGCACAGTTCTATGTAAATGGTATGTTATTTGTATAAAATGGAGTTTGTAAAAATCATTTGATTGAATATTCATAGAATTGTTCTCAGAGAAGAGCAAAACTGATAACAGTTGCTCCTTCTGGGTAGGAATTCTAAGGAGTTAAGGAATAGGGTGGAATGGGAGAGACTTTCTTTTATATAATTTCTACATGCAAACATTTGAAGTTGTGTATTACAAGCATAGACTACCTATTGCAACCTAATAATTAAAAGAAAATATTCTATTTGTGGGCAAAAATGTCAGTAAAAACTTATTGCCAAGTTCAGGCAAATTTAATTATTTTTTCAAAAATAGGCCAATAGAAATTTTGTTGACAAATTTGGGCAAAATATTTGGAAGATACCACAGAATTTAGGAGAGAATAAACTTTGAATACAAACATTGAAGACTGGAAGAAATGCATTTTGGTTTATTGTTTTATGTGGTTTAATCAAGAGGTATTTATATTGCATGGATCCTCAGCAAGTAAGTGGCTAGTGAAGTTACATGGTATTATGTCTTAAAATTTATCGGCATAGGAGCAGTGGAGTAGGAAGTTTTACAAGGTAAAATTTACCTCCAGGATCAGAAAAGTGCTTGAGTAACAAGGTACAGCTCTGCTGGGTACTGTGGAAGTCCCCAGGGTGATGCCTGGGTTTCTGTTGTCTGGCCCTTCAGGAAGCCCCTGCGGGACTTCCCATGAAATGACAATACCAGTTCTTACTTGAGCCTCTTTCTATGGCTGGATTGGGACAGTTCTCTTTAGCCCTAGATCACCCTACCTCAGCATCTCAAACTTACGCCCATGTCTGTATAATTACCTTTGTTCACTCAGTTGATAGTCTTCTTTCTTGAAAAGTATGGAAATTTCCAAATGCTTTCACACAGGCATTGAGGTCTATAAAAAGACATTGTCTTATTTTCAAAAAAAGCTTTTTGTTCCCCCAGGTTGCCCATTTACTTTATACCTAAACGTGCAGTACTCTGTCTCTCAGTCCTCTTGGCAGCTAACACAAGATGTTCCTTTGAGAACGTGTGTGGCATCACAGAATTTCAGAGGAGGGCACAAGCACGAGAAGCCTTGGGTTTCAGCTTCAAGGTTAATCTCCTTCACTTGCATTTCCTTGGTTTATGTTTCTCCGTAGGCTACAGGACTATATATTTACGGTGGCTTGTTATATTATGCACACATATTGTCCAGGACTTCAAGGCAAGGAGATTAAATGTATGAAAACAAAAAAAAGAAAAAAAATACAAACCACTCTAGCTCTGCAGCTGTGAAAGGAGTGTGCAGTAACTGAGAAGAAAAAATTGTATTCTTTGTAAAGGAGACAGTCCAGTTGCCACTGTCTCTGCTCTAAGAAAATTTAAGGGGTCCTTTGCCTCCATACATTGGGAAACCTTGGTGCATGTGCCCATGATAGCACAGAGTCTATGGTGCTTGCCTGGTTAGGGGTGTGGCAGATCCATTGCTTTGGCTCTGATGATTTCCATTGATGACCCCTTTGCTTTGTAACTTAATAGTTCCCTTCCACTCTCATGCAGCACTAGCCATGTGACTGCTTTGGTCAATAGAACTTGGTGGAAATGAAGACTTTTTTCCTAGTCTGTCTGTCTTAGAACCCTGTCATCACCTTGTGAAGGATGAGTGCTGCCAGGTTTTCCAGATGAGGCCGTCTCAGACCACTTGACCTCAACTATGTGAGAGCACCCAGTGAAGAGCCACACAGTTGCCTTCCTGACCCACAGTCAATTTCAATCATATAATATATCCTAACTGAAACTATAAACATTACCTACCTAACCATAAATTCATGTGCAATAATAAACACCTTCAAGGTAGAGTCCAGGATAAGCATTTTCATCCCAGTGACTAAACTTGAACCACCCCCCCTCAAATAGGATACTACGACAATGTTTAAACTTCAAAATCAAAACAAAATAAATGTATTAACATGCATTAATATTATTGAGATTCCAATGGAATAATTGCTGTGGGCAAAAATGAACATTTAAAATGCTTTACCCATACTTCTGGTTCAAAGCTAGAGGTTTGATAACTTCCTTAAAGTTTGGATGCTTTAAGTAGTCAGACGCTTGCATATATTCCATTATTACATGCTTCCCCTTGATATAGCTCAGTTTCATTGAGGAAAGTAATTACAAATTGGCACAAACCATACACACTGTACTTTATGGATGACTTACAGGATTTTCACACTTCACAGTTTTTGCTGGCTTTAGTTGAAACTCCACTGTACCTGCCCAGGGCCTGTCAGAGTGCCTAGCACATAAT